AAACTTGAAATGCAACAGTCAGCAGCATGTCTGTTTCATGAAAGTCTTTTGTAAATTGATTGCTAAACAAAGTCATATGTGAAAAAAAAATTGGGTTCACAGACCTAATTTTGTTGATAAACGTGAAATTTTTGTGGACTATGTTGTTAATACATGGGACTTTACGATGAAAAGTGAAATATTTTGTTTTTTTTCCTTCTAAACTTGATATAATGTGTCTTAAACTACATTTTGAAAAAAATAAAAAAGCTTGTACTGACATATTTCTTAAAATGTGTAAGATTAGACTGTAATTGCAACCATACTATATGATAGTATTTATGCTGCATGAAGAGAGTAGGTAACCTTTGCCATGCCCCCTCTGTTTTAGTTGTATGAGGGCGCTGTGTAAATAACTTTTTGTAATTTTTTTTTTTTTTGTAGGTGGTGTACGTACAACAAGCACTGAAATGTATGTTATGTGAAGAAAGAAATCGAAGTATATCTGTGTTACCTTGTCAACACTTTGTTTTATGTGACCAGTGTACACCTAGAGATTGTCCTTTTTGTCATGCACATATAAGTCAGCGTTCTACCGTTCTTTTGCCGCTTTGATTGTTAGGTTGATGAGATAAATAAATTTTAAATAAATAGATGATATTCTATTGTAAGATGAAGGTATTTAATAGCATGTGGCCTGCAGCAGCATTTTATCTCTATAACTTTACGCTCAACTTGATAGCGTTTTATTCAAATTACCTAGCTGGTTAGGCATAATTTATACAATGACAGAATACTTATTGAGGTTTTTGTTACACTTTTTAAAAATTACAAAAAAAATTATGAATTTACATGGGGATTGAGTAGTCTGCACAGTGTGTGAAGTGGTTCTAATAACAAGAAAATATATCGTTTTCAGTATTTTGTCTTCTCACTCAAATTAGTGATCTCAGTTTAGTTTTTAGTTATGATAATCAAGGTCATGGGTCATAATGAATAATTTTCTAGTACATGATAAATGCCAAATAATTTGTTTTCAGTCAGCGATGCTTCTAACATTAGATAATATATTTACTAACAAAAAAGTTTGCATAGATGGGGTTGAGGTTCGAGTATAGTATATTTATTGTATACTGTGGAAGAGTGGTCATCTCAGCTCTTCTGTCTTTTCACCAGATGCTTCGTCAAGGTTTGTTCATGCTGTGGCTGCTCTTTTCAATATAGTTTTTATCTCATTTATGAAAAATAAGAAAACAAAAAAAAAAGAAGAAAATAAAACTTGGAAACATAAAGCAGATATTTGTGTGATATCATTATGTTATTGCATGTCAAATATAAACGATGGCATTCCATTACCATAGTAACCAGCATCAAAAATAGCTTTCTGTAATCAGTTGTAATTTTAATTCTTGATAGCAGGGTGAATACTTTTTTTTTTTTTATGAAAGTGAAATTAGTATTTTGTCGGTGTGTTTTTTCATTCAATATTGTGTTCAAGAATAATTTTTTTAAAAATTGAAATACTAGATCAAAAAACCACTAAATTTTTCAGATCAAGTAAATTGTTCAGAAATGAACAAACATTTCATTCACTATTCCTGATAACTGCTGCTGCAGTCTACTACCATACATCAATGTGTACTCTTGCTTTGTTCTTGTTTTTGCAGTAATACAGTAGTTAGTGTAAAATGTGCTATAGATCACTAATCTGTGTTGGCATGGTTACCAACACGGGAGTTATTAAACACAACAAGTTTGACCAGAGCTGTACTCTCTACCAAATTCGCT